TAGGGATGTTAAAAGTTCGGTTCGGTCCTGTTCGGTCCTGTTTCATAAAAGTTCAAGTTCAGAAACAGTTCGAAAAAAAGTTTAAAAAATATCACGTGAAAGTCACACACAAGTTCCAAAAATATCATGTGAAGATCACATTCGAGTTTTAAACTTAGTTCTAAACTTTGTTTCGAACTTTTTATTAATTTGTTTTAGATTAGAAATTTAATAGATCTTTACAACAATAAAGAAATTGAATATTCAAAACAAAACACACTAATGCTAAGCTAAGTAAAGTTAAAAAAAAAAAAAATTACTAACGCTAAGCTAATTTTAAGGTTTTTAAGACTCAAGCTTTTTAATTACACCAGATTCATACCAACTTTTAAGGCAGAGAGTTGCCCGTGCTTTTTCTGGATCTAAACGGTTACGTAAAGGATTTATGGTATGTTTAGCAACAGAGAATACCTGTTCACTTGGTACACTAGTAGCTTGTATGCACAGGTAGTCTTGAGCCATTTTTGCTACATTTTTGTAATTTTGATTATTTGCGTGAGCTTTCCACCATGATAATACTTCACAATCAACTTCTGAGGACATAAGATAATTTCGTAATTCGCTTGTTACACCAGGAGAATTAAATGGACGCCTAAGTGCTTTTTTAAAATAATCGCGTGAAGTTAATTTTAAGGTATCTGTTTGGGATGACGAACTAGCATTAGAGGTAATATATTTTGAATAAAGATTTTCTATATATTGTTGAGCTTTATGTTGTTTTTCCGAGTCGTATAAGGAAAGCTTAATGTTTGGATCAAGTGGTGCAATCATAAAGGATGATTGATCTAATTTTTGCCAATACTCGTCAAGTTTAATTAACATAGCTGTAGCGACGAGTTTTGGTGTAGTTTCTTTAATTGTATTATTAATAATTTCTTCAAGAGACCTATTAATTGTAGTGAATATTAAATAAAGATCTCCTAAGGTTGGATGGCTTGATGATGAAAGCATCAAAGTCGCTTGGTAAATAGGGTTAAGGAGATGATAGATTTCCTATAATTGTATTTAAAAAAAATAATAATAATAATAAATAAAAACCATATATCAAAAGATACAAATTCGTATCTTAAAAAAAAAAAAAATCATACATCAATTTCTGACCATTCTAATTCGGTTGGATAATTTGTTTTTAAAGAATTATTTGATGCAACAAGAATATCCATCATATCCTTAATTTTTTTTAATTTTTCGATCATTAGAAAGGTGCTGTTCCAACGGGTTGGAACATCTAGGTCAGGTATAAGAAATTTTTTATTCTTCATTTTAAATATATCTTTTAATTCTCTAAAAATTGGTTGTGAATTACGTATAGTAGATGCGAAGGATCTTGCTTTTAGAATAGAAGCATCAACAAGTTTCAATCCGTCTGCAACAATTAGGTTTAAAGTATGAGCGGCACAACGATAGTGTTTAAAATCGGTATTATTAAATTTTTCTTTAAGGCTTTGTTGTAAATAAGTAGCAAAAGTGATCATATTTGATCCATTATCAGTTGTTGCGGCGATTATTTTTTCACCAATTCCATAAAAACTAATAATTTCTAATACTATATTTGAAATATTTAATCCCGTATGTTCATCTTTAATAGGAACGAGATCAAGAAGCAATTTTTGAGCGCTCCAATTGTCATCAATCCAATGAAGCGTTATGGATAAATAATTACTATTATTGCAAGCGGTCCATAAATCGGTTATAATAGCTAATTTTCTTGTTACTTTTAAGAAATCTTTTACTAATAATTGTTGTTTTTGATAAATATTTTCAATTTGAATAGATACAGTTTGACGAGATGGTAATCGATATCGTTCATCAAGTTCTTCAATAAGTTCAACAAAACTAGGATCTTCGACGACTATAAAAGATTGTTGATTACAGATAATCCATTTTATAAGAAGATAAGTAATACGTTTAACTTTTAATTCGTTATCTATTCCATAAGGTTGAATGGGTTTAGTTTTTTTAATATCTAACTCTAATTGATTATAAATGTCTGTATGAAATTTTTTAAAATGTGCTTTAATTGTACTAATTCCTGATGATTTTTGCCATTGAACTGAACACTGTTTACAACAAACAAAAAGACCACTATCACTTGGTTCAAGATATTGACGTAAAGGATGAGGTTTTTTTCGTTTTTTATTTGATAAATTATCAAATAACGATTCTACAGATAACGGATCAATTTTTAATTCTTTTTGTATAGAATCACAAATTTCACTATACAGAGAATCTTGTGAAGAATCTTGTACTTCGATAATTTTGACATCATTAAAATTACTCATAATTGCAAATTTTCAATATTCGTAATTGTAAAAATTCAACATTCAAAAGTAAAAAATATCCTTTTAAATAAAAACCAATGTACTATTTTAAAAAAATTGTTTTATTATTAAATCGTCTTATTATTCCTTAAATTTTGTGTTCTAATTAATAATCATATTATTAAAGCGAAAAGCGAAATTCAAACAATAATCAACTTTCTATAATAAGAAATGATAACTATTATTCTAAAATAACACCCCAGGTGCAGATTAAAATTTTGACCAAATTAAGCTTAATATGAGCCATAATTTTTAATTTACTCCCGGGTGATATTTTAAAATAATGTGGTGAAACAATTAAACAAAAACTGATTGCCAAATTAAGAGCTATAAACTAGTTTGAGACTTAATTCTTTTCTAATTTAAGCTTTGAACTGAAGTCCCAAACAAAACCCGAACTAACTACTTAAAAACCTCAATAAACGGTCTGGAACTTAAGTTCTTTTAGAATGCTTAACATTCTTATAAAACAATTAAACAAAAACCGTTTGCCAAATTAAGAGCTATAAACTAGTTTGAGACTTAATTCTTTTCTAATTTAAGTTTTGAACTGAAGTCCCAAACAAAGACCGAACTAACTACTTAAAAACCTCAATAAACGGTCTGGAACTTAAGTTCTTTTGGAACGCTTAACATCCCTA